TGCACCTAATTGGGAACTGCATGATAACCAGAAGATAGATTAGATGGCCTTTTAGCTGATCCAGCAAGCTTTTACGTTTTTATGTAGAATACCTGTAATGCATGGAGTGAGAACAATTGGCAGTAAGGAAGATGTAAGTGATGTGAACTGCATGACAAGTAGCAGTTGGGTGCTTTTATCTCCATAGCTTTCAGATGCAGAAGTGGTTAAAAAAAACCCTAGACCAGTGAAATAATGTAATATCTGCAGATCAGTTAAAGGCATTTTTTATTATATTGCAGCATGAGAGGTATTGTTTTATTTTAAATTCTAACATAGATGTGATTTTGGTTAAGAAGCCTTGTCTAAACTAGTATCTTAAATGGCTACTTTTCAGTGGCCTGATTTGCACATACTGTATAGCAAAACAGATTTAATGTTGAATGAATGAGCCTCAGGTTTATCAGTCTTTGGATCCACTCACCTTTAGTTCTTTTAGTCTTATTAATTTATCACTGCTGAGCTTTATGTCCAAGATGTAAATTGTAATTAGTGTTAACTGTGGTTTACTGAAATAGGTTTTCATAGGTCATAGAAATCAGTTGTGGCAATAAGCTGTAATTAAGCCAGTGCTATACTTTCATTAAAAAATGGAGCAAAAGATTTTGATTGCTTGTCTCTGCTTGATGATCATTTGCATGTCCAGGCAAAGTCAGTGGCATTATTCACACACCACACTAAGCATTCTGAATGGTCAAGAATTGTTCAGGAGTTTCTCCTTTTTGTTAATCATTGCCTAACTCTGGAACTGTGCTTAATATAAATTCAATAAATTAAGAAACCATGTTTTTAAATGGCTTATTTTAAATTAATTGCAATTGATATTAACCAGTCATGCTAGTTAATCAGGCTGTCACCCATACATGATAGTTAATCCAACACAGACACTTCTTAGCTTCTGTTTACTGCTTAAAAGGAAGAGTGAGGTACATATAAACCTGATATTTACAGCAACTTTTAACTGCTTTCACAAATCACAATAAACCAGGTCAGGATGAAACAAGACTTTAAAAAGTTCTGAAGAGCTGAACAGTTATATATAGGGGATAACACTGTGTGGTAGTTTACTCAAACAAAAATGCATGAGATTAGATTTTGTGGTATCGTGCTTTGCAAAATTCTTTTGTTTCAGATAAAAGTCAGTATACTGAATTTTTCTGAAAGTGAATATGACCGAAGTGCCTGGAAGAGAATCAGCTGTCCTTGACTTAATACAAATCAATAGGAAGAACTTAGTTGATGAAGTGGAATTAGTAGAAACATCAGGGAAATGTCACCATGTAATGCTGGAATTCTTAATATATTAAGAGACATTAAAAGGGAGTATAGTCAAATGCAAATTTTGAACTTCAAGAAAACTGATTTTAATAAACTGATTGATAAATAGGATTCTGTGGCAGGAGAAGCTAATGAGTAAGGAGCCCTAGGTATATGGAAGTACCTTATTTTTAAAAAAAGTGATACTAAAAGCAAACAATTCCGGGATGGGGGGGGAGTACATGAAAAGCTTAGTGAAAATATGAAGGCAAAAAAGGACACACATAGTTGGGAAGAGAGACATCAATAGATCAAAACTGTAGATGTAGCATCAAAAAGGCTAAACATTAAAATGAGCTGAAGCTGAGAACAGCAAACAGGTGTTCTTCAAATATAAAAGGAAAGAGAAAAGAATCAACTAATAAAGAATCTGCTAAGAAAGACATTAAAATGCTAACATAAGACTCTCCTACTTTGGCTCTATCATAAACTTCTTAGTCTGAGGTTTTCTCCATCTCAAACCTCTCAGTTCCATAGGCAGGATGAAGAGGCAGGACTGAACGTTGTGACTGATAAAAACATGGTCAGGGAATACCTCTGCATTTTGTATGATTCCAAGAACAAATTAATTGCACCCTAGGGCACTGAAGGAACTGGCTGATCTAGCTAAACCTTTTTGAACTCTCTTTTCAGAAATTTTGATGAATGGCTAAAATTTCAAATAATTGGATAGAGAGCAAATGTTCAAAAAGACTGGGTGAGGAGAAAGGATCCAGGGAAGTACAGACCGATCAGTTCAATATTGGTGCCATATTCTACAGCAAATAACAAAGCAATTGGCTTCAAGTATCAGGAAAACAATTTAGTGGTTACTAGAAGTTAGCATGGATTTGTCATGAACTAGTCTTGCCCAACTAATGTTATTTCATTTATATTTCTTGTTCAGTATAGTGTGGATGCTGTAGATATTAATGTTTAGATACAGGTTTCCTTCTCTTTATGCAGATTCACTTGATTCAAATTTGCTATTATGGGATTAATATTAGATGGGAGTAGGGGAACATAAAAGG